ATGGCCTTTTTCGTGTAATCCCCACTAAGAATCTGTAAAACACTGGCTGAAATGTTTATGCATTTGTGTGTTTCCTTTCTAGTTTCTTTGTAATGGGGGTTAGAATAGAGAGCCAGGATCCAGGTCTGAGCATGCAAAATGAATTTCCCTGTGCTTGCTCACTGTTTAGAGGGATAGCACTTTAACTTTGCGGAGTGGAGACATTACTAAAATTATTGATTGGGGCAAGAGTCGCAGATGATTCCGTGCTTGGCTCTGTATAAAGCCTCTGGGTAAAGTTTTAATCGAACACAGACCATTTTCCACATATTTTCTGTGTTATTTAAACTATCCTTTCAGCCCCCCAAAGAAGGTTGCTTTTGATATTCTTTCTTTTAATTGAATAATGTTCTTCTCTGGGTGTCTTAGATGTGTTAGGCTTTTCCTCTCCCTCATTAGTATTTCTTTATTTGAAGAAAAACAAAGCAAGTAGAAAATTTTGTTTTAATAAAAAGGGATCTGTATTAATTTGCTTGATGATAGGATAGTAACCATTTCACTATAGAAACACCTGTTGTACACCATAGATAGACACAATAAAAATAAGCAGGTTCTAGAAGTGGCCAGAAATTGCAGTGGTAGTAATGAGCATTTGTTGCATTTTCTTCTCTACTCATTCCTCAGCAAATTATGTTTGCGTTTGCAGACCGACGTCCTAGAAAAGAGGAAACTGTACAGACGGGGCCTGGAGGAGTGCTGGAGGAGGTGATGGCAGGCCTGGGGGGAGGCAGAGGTGATAGCGGAAGGATTTGTTTGCCAGGGTTTCAATGTGACAAGGCGCTGTTTACCTTGAAGTTATCGCGGCGGAATTCCGCGTCCTCGTTAGTGATTGGCTGCGTGTGAGTTCGCACTCAGGGTACATTAAGCAACTCGAGGGTGCTAAAGCCCCCGATGATGAAACGCTGTTCTGCTAGCAAACAAGGATGTTCCCGCAAGCAGGATTTGTTGAAACCTTCCTATGAAAGATTCTTAAACAAACTTGGTCTTTGTTGACATAAGATAAAAGAAATAGGCAGACCGAATAGTGAGTTTGGGAGGATCACAAACTTTGCACAAGCTATATATACTTTTTGCAACATCCATGAAATGTTTGTCTCTATGACAAGGAAAAAAAATTTTTTTTCTTTTTTTGGAGAGGTTTTCGCTATAGGGCGCGTGCACTCTCCAGAAACACGGAGAGAGAGACAGACAGAAAACAAGAAATCACCCCCCAGAGGGGATGGTCACGCCGCAATCCCTTCTCCTCCTTTCTCTTCTTGGGATCTTGGGCACATGCACACGCGCTCGGCGTGAGTTTAAGCCACCGAGTCCAGGACTCGAACCACAGTCGACTACATGGGAGTCTAGCAACATAGCCATTACACTTAACTGCTGGTCCCAAAAAATAATTTTCTTGTATTTTAGAATATTTCCCAGAGGCTAGCTAATGGACTCAGTCTGTAACAGGGGGCTTTAAAATGTTCATAAACGGGCCAGCAGATCACATGGCAGTTACGTCTCTGGACTCCCACAAGGCCAACTGCATTTCAAGTTCTGGACCCAGTGGCTTCAGAATCACACTGAGGACATGTGTGTAAATGCCCAAGATCTTAGGAGGAGAATGGAGGAGAAGGGATTGCAGCATGGCCATCCCCCCAGTGGGTAATTTCTCCCATTCCCTCTCACTGTCTCTGTCTGTCTCTCTCCAGTGAGCACACACGCCCTAAGGCAAATACCTCTATTTTAAAAAAAAAAAAAGTCATGAAAAAATGAAAGTATGAGCTTAATTTAGTGCAGAAACATTTTTAAATTTATGCATAGCTTTTTTTCATCATATGTATTACCCATGAACTTTCCAAAACCTTTGGTATTCCCTAACTTTTTTTTTTTTTTGAGAGGTTTTTGCTTTAGGGCTGTGCACTTGCTGGAGAGACAGAGAGAACATTAGAAATCACCTTCCAGGGAGGAATAGCCATACTACAATCCCTTCTCCTTCATCCTCCTCTTGGGATTTTAGGCATCCACGCACATGTGCCTGGCATGAGTTTTAAGCCACCAGGTCCAGGACTCGAAGCATGGTTGACTATGTGGAAGTCCAGCAACATAACCATTATGCCATCTGCTGGTTCCTCCATAGCTTATTAAAAAGCCTATTTCTAAACAGTCAGAGAAAACATGAATATAACTCCATGGGCTGTAATTCTAAAAGGTACTACTGTTTGGAAAGAAGCAAAGGTAGATATATCAAAATCCTAATCAGGTAATGAATGATCCGAGTAGGGAATGGGGAGGACAGATACCGGAAGGATTCCTGCGGCTGCTGCAGGAATTTTCTTGAAGGGGTCTGATATTAAAGATGGAAGAATGAAGTGAGGACTATGAATTTGTGAAAATCAGCAGAGATATTCGGGTTGAAGCTTTCTGAAATACTGAGGCAGAAATTGAGCACAAGGCGGGGCATGGTCAGGAGCAATAGGTGACAGAGAAGCCAGCCACTAAATTTTGGTTTTGCCATTGCCTTTGTGAGCAGAATGGCCACCTGACCAGAAGACTGGGACAGGTAACCTGAACAGAACCGGAGCCCACCTTGGTGAGAGAGAACTGGGCTGCTTTAAACTAGTTCACAGTGTAGGAACCAGCAGATAGCGTAACGGTTACGTCACTGGACTCCCACATAGTCCGCTGCAGTTCGAGTCCCAGACATGGCAGCTTAAAACTCAGGCCACGTGTGTGTGCGTGCATGCCCAAGATCCCAAAAGGAGAATGGAGGAGAAGAGATTGAGGTGTGGCCAGCCCTCGTGGGGGGTGATTTCTTGCTTTCTGTCTGTTTCTGTCTGTCTCTGTCTCTCTGGTGAGCACACGTACCCTATAGCAAAAATCTCTCTCATAAAAAAAAAAAAAAAAAGTTCACAGTTTCAGGTTGTGATGAATTATCTCTTGCTATATTAAAATAATTTTATATATATATGCGCAAAGTGATCTTGGAGGCACCTTGAAGTGCAAAAAAGGGAGAAGAAAGGAAAGAGAGAGTTTCCCTTATTCCCAAACTGGAAAAACCAATGTAGATTCTGAAAACCACAATTCGGAGAGCTGGACATGACCACCAGCAAAATTTCAGCCATTTAAAGCATGCATAGGTCATCAGGAAAGTCATGACGTATTTTTCTATATTTTTCTATGCAAAAAAGCATGAAAGTCATGCATATCATGAAGAAAGTTAGGACTTGCCCAATGACCCAATACTTGAACGACATGTAGCTGACTGCCCGAAGGCATTCATTCAGCAAGAATGAGTTATGCCTAATGACCCCCACATGCTCTTTTACATGGTGTGAGCCTGGTGGATTTGGGAAGTCTTAAAATCCTGTATTAGGAAAAAGCACTTACCAAAGTACTTTAAACGAAGGTGTGATCAACTCCAGATAAGCTGGAGAGAAGTGTGGTGTTGTAGTTGATTCCCTGACATACCCAGAGGGTTGATTAATGGGTCGATAGCAGCGTGGAGCGATGTTCTTGGTGGCATGCCCTGGGCCTCTGTTCTCGGCTCTCTCAGGTCAACATCCATCATTTACTTGGATGGAGATGGAAGGCAGGCTTATCGGTGTGTAGTGACGCACGGAGAGGTAGGGTACTTGGCACATTGCTGCGCCTACAATACAGCGTGCTCCCAAATACTGTGAAACCTCCTATGCTGGATTGGATTTAAAAAAAAAAAAAAAATCAGGGAAACAAAGTGGAATCAAAGGTGGAAGAATGAAGCGAGGACTATGAATTTGTGAAAATCCGCAGAGATTCCATTCAATATAGACATCTTTGAAAAAAAAGACACGGGTGTTGTAGTTGACCTCGATTCAAGTATGAATCATTTATTCACGCAGTCATTCAAGGGACAAGTGTCTACTGTACTCCTGTCTGAATCTCAGTACTGGAGAGTGAGGGACACTACAAATGAATAAAATAGAGACCTTAGTATCAAGAAACTTCAAGTCTAAAGGAGTACATTAATTTTCTCACGTTGTCCTTTGAAAAGTGCCACAGATTGGATAGGTTAAAATTAGAGAAATACATTGTCTTGGGACCACCAGATGGTGTCCCACATGGCTGACCACGTGTCAAGTCTTGGACCTGGTAGCTTGAAAATCGCTCTGGGCACGTGTGTCCAAGATCCTGGGAGGAGAATGGAGGAGAAGGGATTGAGGTATATCCATCCTCCCCCTGAAGGTGCTTTCTCACTTTCCCTCTCACTATGTCTCTCTCTCTTTCCCCCCAATAAGTGCACACACCCTAAGGCAAAAACCTCTTAAAAATAAACAAATAAAAATAAGTAAGAGAAATATATTGTCTTCCAGTTCTGAAAGCTGGAAGCCCAAAAGAAGGTGTCTGGGCTATGCACTCCGTGAGTCCTGGGGGTAAAACTCTTCCTCTGCCTCTTTTGGCCTTCATTGAGGGCTCTCAATCTTAGGTCTTCATTGGCTTGCAGCCATATCACTCCAATTTCTGCCTGTGTCATCATATGGCATGTTTCCTGTGTGTCACGTGGTATTTCTCTCTCTCTCGGTTAGATTTTTGCCATAGGCCTCATGTTCTTGCCAGAGAGCGAGATAGAGAGGGAAAGTGAGAAATAACCTTCCAGGGGTTATTTCTTCTCCACTCTCCTCTTGGGATTTTGGGCACGCATACACACACATACCCGGCATGAGTTTTAAACTGCTGGGTCTGGGACTCGAACCATGGTTGGCCATGTGGGAGTCCAGTGCCACCACACCACTTTCTGGCCCTGGCATTTTTCTCTTTTTTATAAAAACATCAGTCATATTGGATTAGAGTCACCTAATGACTTCATCTTGATAACACAAAGACCTTATTTCCAAATAAGGTCACCAAATAAAGTCCTGGGGTTAGGGCCTGACCGTATTTTTTTGGAGGACACAATTCAGATTAAAATGAAGAGTAAAAGAGACAGAATTCATCCAAGTAGTTGACTCATTGGATTAAAGAAGCGGCATAAACACATGGAGTGCTATGAGAACAAGTGATCGGGTGACCTAATTAGGCTTGGGAGAGATGGTCAAGTGGATCGGAAACTCTCCAGGCAAAGGGGAAAAAGGCGTAAGTCTCCAGGAAGAAACACCCATGCAGAAAGCCCTGCGGCAGTGAGAGGGAGTGAAAAGGGAAGCCACTGTCGCTCAGGTCGAGGGGGGAAGAGCCCCTGAGCTGAGAAGATACCACTAGTGGATCCAGCAGGGCTCTGTCCACTGGGCTGAGGCTGAATGGGGGGCTGTTCAAACACAGCAAAGAGCATTAATAGACATACGTAGAAGGGAGGGGGAATCTGGAGCCAGTTAGACTCTCTTCCCTGGACTGCATCTGCAACCCCTTGTCTTGTGGGAAGTGGGGTGTTTTAAGTGAGCCTTTCCCAAGATGTGGTTGTTAACTTTGAATGTTAATGTATTTACCTGAGGGGAGAGGATTCTTGGGATGTCAGCCATTTGGAGTTATTCAAATAAGAAAACCCCCTGTGTCCCTTCTGAGAGCAGAATTAGACCAGTGGGCAGGACGCACCGGAGGAGAGATCGGCGAATTCAAAGGCTACACGGGAGACAAGGAGGCCTTGGGACTTGACTCCTTGTCTCTAGAAAATGCCCATCAGGGAAGATGGTGGTCTGCAGAGACAGTGAGGTGGGGAATGCTTTCCTCTGAGGTCCCTATGAGAAGGGCCCCCTAGGATGTCCCATGGGAAGTTAAGATTTCTAAAATATATTTACACATACTTTATAATGAAAAATGAAGGGGATTAAAAAGGCTTTAAAAGTAAATGGCACTGGGAGACTGTTAAATAACTGAATTCACTCAAGCATTTTCCCAGGATTATTTAGATAGTTCTGCTGCGTCCTGCTCAGCAGCGCTGCCCTCATTCCCAGAACAGTCCTTAACCCCCATCCCGGCCCCACTCCCTCTCCCCTTTTCCTAATGGTCTCTCACACGCCCTGAGCGGACTCGTTCTGTCAGGTGTGTTTCTGGGGCTCAGTTGCCAGTCCTTCATGGGAAGCCCAATCAGTCCTCTCTAGGGTGATAGCGTGGAAACACATCATTCTGCTCCTCACCAGCTAGCTGCTCGGCCTTCACTGGGGGAGGAGGGCAGGAAGCACACGGTGTAGACACAAGTGTTAATCCTGGCCCAGTGCCCGGGTCAGGTGACCTGTCTCTCAGGGGGCATTTTCAAAGAAACACTGCCGTGTGGCCAAAGGTACATTTCAGAGGAGTTTCGACCTCCTCTTGGGTCTCTGAAGAGAGACCCGATCCCTACCCCACACCAGCTCCGCTGCACCGTGCTCCTCTCCTGCTCAGGTTCCCCAGGCAGGTAGGTCTGGACCTTCGCGTTCTCTGGGCTGCTGGCTTTGCCCTGCCCCAGCCTTTACTATATAAATCGACCTTCGTTTTAATTCCTGTGGTTTTGTTTGCTCTTTGTCTTTGAGTCAAGAGGAAAGCTTAAAAGCTGATTGGATTGACAAGACGAGAAGGTCAGTCTGCAGGAGCTCGGAGGGCCTGGAATCAGAAGGGAGGCAGGGAGCACGAGAGGAAGGGGGCCGCTGGACACGCTCTGGTCCGTACACCTTCTCTTCCGTGTGTGGGCGAGAGAGCAGGTGTGCTGAGGGGAGGAAGGAAAATGGGACTACGGTGTTCATGTGGAAGGGTGGCCAAGGTAGGCGGAGGCCGGATCCTGGAGGGGTGGTTCTGAGACGCGGGCTGAAGCACTGCAGTGGTTGGAGAATCTGCCAAGAGGCAGTTGAGATACAAATGTGACTGCGTAGATTCAAAGCGTTAAAATTAAAATCGGATTTTTAGAAGAACTTTGCTAGAGGGTGTGTGCACTCCCCGGAGGTGGGGGAGTGAGCAAGCACCCTACGATGATGAGTGGTCATGCCACAATCCTTTCTTCTCCGTCTCTAACTCTCTTTGGGATTTTGGGCACACACACACATACACCTGGCATCTTTTGCAAGGTTCAGGGTCTGGGACTCGAACTGTGGCTCCAGCCACCCCAACCCAACTCTCCACTGGCTGGCCTTCATTCTTCTTTGTAACTTCACAAAATACATCATTTTAACGGTGTAATTTGATGTCATAAATGCAGACGTGTGTAATCATCACTCGAGTCAAAATATTAAACATTTTTATTCCTCCCGAAGTTTCTCTCATTTTTTTGTAGTTAATACTCCCTTTACTTCCCAGACCCGGGTAACCCGTTTTTTTTTTGTTGTTGTTTGTTTGTTTTTTAACCATACGTTTTGACTTTTCTAGTCTTTAGTATAGATGGGATTATCCAGAATGTAGTCTTTTGTGCCTGACACCTTCCATGTGGAATACTGTGTGGAACATTACCCAGGGGCAGCATGCCTTATTCGTCTATTCCTTTTTTTTTTTTTTTTAATTTTTGCCAAAGGGCACTTGTACTCAACAGAGACAGAGAGAACGCAAGAAATCACCCCACCCCGGCCGCCATGGAGAACGACCGTGCAGCAGTCTCTTCTCCACCTTTCCCCCTGGAGATTTTGGGCATGCATGCACACGCGCCCAGCATGTTTCTCAAGCTGCCAGGTCCAGGACTTGAACCACCCCGTGGGCCATGTGGTATCCAGCTGTCTTAACCACCATTCCACAGGCTGGTCCAGCCCATTCCTGTTTATCATACAGATATACTACAAGTTATAACCCCATTCTTTATATTTCATAATTATCTGTTATTTGGGGGGTTTTTTTAGAGAGATTTTTTGCTATATATGGGGCACATGTATTCACCAGAGAGACAGAGACAGGGAGAGAGACAGGAAGCGAGAAATCACCCCCCAGGGGAAATGCCCATGCCTCAATCCCTTCCCCTCCATTCTCCTCTAGGGATCTTGGGCACACACGTGCATGTGCCCAGCAGGAGTTTTAAGCTACTGGATCTGAGACTGAAACTGTGGTTGATTATCTGGGAGTCCAGCAACGTAACCATTACGCCATCCGCTGGTCCTGTATAATTGATTTTAAGTATATAAATTGTCAACATTTCAAAATGAGTTTTAAAAATTATGGATAAAGCTTAGTTACTAGGAAAATTCAGACTTCATGTTCCCAATTCTGTTCCATGCTCTCAGGACTACCGAAACAGTATTCAGCCTTTTTTCTTTTTAAAAATGAATTCTCACCTGGAATAACAGATGAAGAACCAGATGAGGCATGTTTTTCCCAAGAAAAATTTCCCTTCTGACCCCAGCCTTTGTCCCAGTCCGAACAGGGCTCGCCCACCCCACCCGCTGTGTCCCTGCGGTACCTGGGATGTCCCCTGCCCACGGACGTCTAGCATACTTTATGTAACTGGTTTCCTTGTCTCCCTCCCTCCGACAGATCCCTCTGGCCCCTGGAATTTTGTTCAGAACTTGTACGTAGTCCATTTCCTTTTGAAATTCGTAAGGCTTGATCTTTTAGAGAAATTGATAGTTCATCGATCAATTGATAAGATTGAATTCAGCCTATGCAGTGACATAAAATGAACGAAAAGTCTGGGGGAAACTGGGGAAATAGTTTACAGTCATGGCATATTAATACCCGGAGGAGCAGCTGGAGCTGGTGGCGTGGTGGTTAAGACGCGAGATTCTCACATGGTTCGAGGCCCGGATCTGTCACCTTGACAATTGCGAAGGACACGTGTGTGTATATGCCCAAAATCCTGGAAAGAGAGTGGAGAAGGGATGGCGGCATGGCCTCCTCCCTGGGGAGTGATTTCTCACTGTCTCTCTCCAGCAAGCGAATGCACCTGTTGGCAAAAATGTAAAAACACGACAAAAACGAATGTAAGTGTGATGAGAATGTCAACCTTCATGTTCTCATTTTTTACATTGTTCTTCTTGCAAAGTTTAAAAGTATGTTTTAGAGACCAGGAGTCATAGTGATGAAGAACTGACCCCCTCTTAGTACTTTTTCTGAGTACACAATAGAAACGCTTCATTTGGACTTACTGGAAGCCAGTATGAATTTGCAAACCTCCCTCAGCCAATAGCAGTGCTTCAACAATCTGCCAAGATGCTAATGAATAAAATCTCCGGGCATACACAGCTTCTATGTTTTAAAGTAGTAATTCAGAGCGTGAGTTTTCACATTGAAAACGTAGTTTCAAGTGGTAATGCTTTTCATGAAATAACTTTGCAGCAAAGTTTCTTGAACTAAAAATGAGTTCCTGTTGATTTTTTTTTTTTTTTCGGTAACCATTTGATGAAAAGAATTTTGCCTAGCATCGAAACAAAAGTGGTTGAATTCTAACAGTTCATTCATTCGGTAGCTTTTGGGGGGAGGGTGTAGGGTTGTGTATTGCCAGGGGTAATTTGGCTGTGTTTGGAAAGAGCATGGTTAGAGAAAATCAGGGTTCTGAAGCGTTTCTCAGTTCTTCATCTGCCAAGAAAAAGAGCTTTCTTGTACTCGAATGCCCCTCGTAATCCAGGAGCATGGACTAGCGTCTTTAATCTGTAATTCAGTTACTAACTCAGAATTAAGTAAAGCTTGCTTCCCGAGCAGTGGCTATTTAAAAAGGCAGCAGGCCCAGCTGCTGTGATGCAGGGTGCCCTACCTGGCCGCTATGGGGGCGGGCGGCGGGGGGCCCGCCTGGCTGCTGTGGGGTAGACGTGCCCTCCTGGCTGCCGTGGGGTGAGGGGCCCTGCAAAGCCGCAGGTCATCCAGCAACCACAGGTTTGGCCCCCTGGAGTGTTTTCACAGCACCGCACACGTGGGCACCCAGGATCCTGAGGAAGGGTGGGAAAGGGGAGTAGGGTGAGATGAGGCCTCTGGCAGGTACTTCACTCTCTTCTTTCTCTTCCGGTCTCTCTTGCACATGCACATGCACACGTATGCACAGAGGCTGTCAGAAAATTAAAAGGTTCTTGAAGCACGTGTTCTTCCAGGTCATCTGGGTTTTCTTAGCATCCTTAACTGGGCTCTAATTCGAGAGGACCATGGACTAAAAGTGAACTAAGGCCCAGACGTGGAGGCACGTGTTGCTAAGATGCTGCGCTCTGTAGGCTGGGAATGGTGGGGTCCTCGGTTCAATTCCTCGTCCAGCCTGAAGGCTAGCA